CTTTTAAACTATTTAAAAGTAACCATAATCAGTGATAAAATCATGCACATATAAATAATAAACAATATTATATATTTCACAATTATATTTCATAAAAACCTGTGTGATGGAGAATTGCCAAAAAACCCACAAGGAGCTTAATAAGTGGCGATCTTCGTAGAAACTAATATATTAAACAATTTTAAAAACATTTATCTATTGAAAAAAGCACATTTCTTTATATAAAGAACTAATAACATTRAATACACAAACCCATATGGAAAATTCAAACAGTTTAAAAGCAATAATTTGACTCTGTTTAAACTGTTCTTTAGAAAACTCTGAGGGCTGTAGCCAGACTGTTCTTATCTTTGAGCCTCTGTTTAAAACACTAAACTGTGTTTGAGTTGGACGAGTATAAGGAGGTCTAATAAGACTACTACAGGTCAAATACTGGTGTCATTCATTATTAAAAGTACAAATATTACAGAAATGCTGGGGAAGTAACTTTGTGTTTTGTTAATGTTTTACAATTACACATATTTACCTTGCGTCATACTGTATTTTCAAACTTCTTATCAACTTGAACATTTTTTAACAAAAACATGGTGGGCTACCAACGGGCTTAGCTGGTTTCTGGGGGAAACCCTGACAGGAGTACAGCTTTGTGTCGAGCTCAAAAAACAAAAAAACACTCACATTTCTGTTTCCTCAGGTGAGGAGCCTTTTTCCTTTGGATACGGAGGAACAGGGAAAAAATCCAGCGACTGCAAGTTTTCTGACTTTGGTGAAAAGTTTGGTGAGAACGACGTCATCGGCTGCTACATCGTAAGTCATCGCTGACTCATTAAAATCAAGTGTTTGAAGAGAATTATATCAATAAGACGACCTGTTTTCTGTTTCTTGACTTGTAGGACTTTGAAAGTGGCGACGAGGTGCAGATGGGCTACTTCAAGAAYGGCGTGCATCTGGGCGTGGCCTTCAAGACCACCAAGGAGGAGCTGGCGGGGCGTGCTCTGTTCCCTCACGTGCTGGTGAAAAACTGCGCCGTCGAGTTCAACTTCGGCCAGAAGAGGGAGCCCTACTTCCCCCCAAAGGAAGGCTTCACCTTCATCCACGATCTTCCCATGGAGCAGAAGATCAGGGGCACGAARGGACCCGCCAACAAGTCTGACTGTGAGGTAGGGCGTCGTTTCATTGACGTGGACGTGAAAATTAGTACAAACTAAATACAAAATGAGCTGGGTGGTTTGTGTTTTTAGATTTTGATGATGGTCGGCCTCCCCGCCTGTGGAAAGACCACGTGGGCCCTGAAGCACGCAGAGGCCAACCCTGAGAAGAAGTACAACATCCTGGGCACGAACGCCATCATGGACAAGATGAAGGTCAGTTCCCTCAGCCGCCTCAGACCACACAAACCTGTTGTGTTGGCGTGGGACGGTATGAAATTATGACCGTATGATAACCTTAGGCAAAAATATCACAGTTTTGCAAAATTACAGCTTTAAAAAGTTTTATTTTGAAATTTGTATTTAAAAACAAAAAAGAAAATAACTTTTCTACTATCATCTTCAACTTTAACTAGCTTTGGAATCTGTTTTTAGATCTCAGAAGTGTTATGCTGAAATTTTATTTACCTGTGTGCATTTATACTTATGAATTTTAGCACCTAATGCAATTAGTTTATCCTGATAAAGTTTACATATAATATAGGATAACTGCTTTTTTACTGCTTTATTTAAGACTAATCAGTGTAAACTGCATGACAAGTCTTTTTATTGAAGTAATGTATCACGTTGGGAGTTTATATTGTGTTTTAAATTTCAAAAGGGGTTTTGACGTAAAGATTATTTAATTAAATGCACACAGAAACAAGAAATCACAACTATATATGTGTGTTTATGAAACGCACGTTCAGCTAACGAGCTGCTCGGCTAAAGGAGGCATTCAGTTTTATCATCTTTCACTTCAAACTTATCAAATACATAATCCAACAACTCACAGTTTTGCAGACAAGCTGTGATCGGTGCTTTAACCCACAGCAACACAATGTTTCATAATCCGATGCTAACGTTAGCTTGTTCATTTCAATGTAGCATAAACTTTACCTGGAGCTGCGATCATGTTAGAAGCCTCCACGGTCCACAAGACATTCTGTCCGTCTTTTTACAGCATCCAAAGTACTTTCATATAGCTAGATTTACTATTTTAGACAGGGAAAAGTTTGGGGAACTCTCTTCCTTCAGTCGTAAAACACAGAGCTGCCGACAGGTAGCTCTGCAGGGGGGAAGGTTTGCAGCTGCACAGACCAGAGGAAAAACAAATAAAAAACGCTTATACCGTAGGAACAGTGTGACAGAAAAATGTAGTGGTTTCCAAACCATGACTTTTTCATATTACGGTACACCTTGAAACAGGTATCCGGCCCATGCCTACCCAGAGTTCATGCAGGGTCGTAAAAAGTCTAAAAAAATCTAAAATTTGTAAATCTAAATTTTAGGCCTAAAGTCTTAAAAACACCCAGATTTTCATCCGAGGTCTTAAATTTAATTTTGTCACGTCTTAATTTTTTTTTTACTTTTGATCATTCCCTGAAGTGTAGGCTGCATAAATACAGTAAAACACCGTAATCAGAGGTTGACTCTGTCTTCATGAAGTGCCAAGTTTGCTACCAGTTTTTGTACATAGCTAAACTACAAATCCTTTGATAACTGCAGGAAAAAAACGGCACCGTTTGCTTCCATGTTTTTGACCTCTTTGCCRCYACAACTCCTCGCATACAGCAGCTTGTTCACCTTAAAAAAAAACAAAGAAGTTCAGTCACGTCCACTGTTAGTTGTTTAAACTTAGGTAAGTGAGTTTTCAATGAGACTTGGTTTGATATCGATGACGTTTGCAGTCGGTTGGAAGTGGTCCACAGCWGTCCATATGAAGGTCTCATCCATATGACTGTTTCGTTAAAATAATTTAGTGTTCTTATATTAAAATTAAATATTCTTTAATAGCTAAATTGATAGCAATTTCTGTGTTAAAATTTCTGGGACAATTTGAATGTTCCTGTTAATGTGTTGGTTTGGTCTTGAATGTCATTCCTAATGGTCTTAAAAGGTCTTAAATTTACCTTACTGAAACCTGCATGAACCCTGCCTACCGTCGTGTCGTGGCGTGACGCTGCTCTGCCTCTCTGCAGGTGATGGGTCTGCGCCGCCAGAGGAACTACGCCGGCCGCTGGGACATYCTGATCCAGCAGGCCACCCAGTGTCTGAACAGACTGATCGAGATCGCCGCCCGCAAGAGACGCAACTACATCCTGGATCAGGTACTGCTCCCGCACCTACACCCAGTCCTCCTCCTCACCACAGTGAGTCAATGTGCCCTGATGATCACTTTCTCTCTAATGGATTATTTATTTATCTTTCAGGGGGTCTCTGTGTATTATAGAATAGAAGAAGCATTGATCACCCTGTTGTCATTTGCTTGTCATGTAACAGACAATGATTAATTGCTCTTATAAGTGACAGAACATGTTGTTTCCTTCAGTATATTTGCACTTGCTATTATGTGATATTACAGTACTGTTTGTCTTGTGAACAATGTACAAGTAAACCATGACTTTGTAAAGATGTTGAGAAACAAGTAAGCTCTTGACTGGTGAGTAAGAAAAACACCTTCTGTTGCTAATTTAATAAGCCAGAGTTGATAGCTTTTTAAAAGCTACTTTTAAGTGAGAAACATGGAGCTTTTATCTTTTTTTTGAATGTGATTTTTTTTTTGTTTATTTTTTTAATTAATTGACCCAGAAGGTAAGTAGTGACTAACGACCTTTAGCTTTTCAGACCGTTGTGCCTCAGCTGATGTGSAAAGGTAAGTGGGTCTGGTGGTCCCGAGTCCTCGCCCAGGACACCGTGAGTATGAGACGGTGAGTGCTAGATGTTTGTCGTCTGAAATGGGACAAGAGTTCGTATGAAGACGAGGTAAGCTAAGGTAAGAGTGGGGGACCCATCAGAGTAGAGAGATGAGGGATTTTCTCTTAAAATCAGTTGGTTAATCCAACTTTATGAAACTAAACACAGCCAAGTATTTAAGTTTAACTTTAAATATACTAAAATGAAGTAAACTTCCTTTTTTTTATAGACTTTCAGTATTTTATTGCATTTGAATTGCYATCAACATGAGTTTCAACGAATAACCAGAAAGAAATCCATATTTCCTGCTAATGWTTTTGTACCTGTTTTTATGATTTTTTTTGTAACCTCCTGATGTGTATTGTATTCAGAAATGTTGACATCATTTAAACTGCATGCAGTGTTGGATAGCACAGAGAAGTGATAAAAGTCACCACCTTTTGGTAATCTGCATGCTTCTGCTTTTTAATAACYGTGAGCACAAAGTTCCATAAATCAAAATATTTAGAGAGTCGGAATGTAACGTTTAGAAGCCAGAAGCAAGGAAGTGATTTAAACTTAAACACAAACTGATTATGGACCACCTAATGTAAATTTACCSTTGTATATTTATAGATATTAAATAGGAATGCACGAAAACTTGTTTTAAGAATTGATACCGATAAACTATAACTTTCTCCTTCTAGCGGCCGATAACCAATAATAACCGATAACATGCCAGGAGAAAAGACTAGTTAAAAATGGGTAAGGTCATAACATAAATAAATGAGACCAAAATCAAATGACACTGTAAATTATATTATTTGACATAAACTCCTAGCAAACAAACATTTTGAAAAACATATCTAACAAAACAATTTTTCAGATGACCATCTTTGTAAATAATGCACATTAATTATAAAAAAAAGAGCTTTAACACTGATCTCAGATTTAAACAAATATGTACAAAGAGAAAAAGTCATTCCACAAGTTCAAACAAGATAATTCACTAACACAAGTTAGATTCAAAGTACATTTGTTTTTATTATTWATAATATATCATTTAAAACAAATTTTCTGCCTGAAACAGTGAGATAATAGTGCACAAGTGATAACCTGTCAATCAATGTGTGAACTGGAAGAGAGAGGTAGCGGCAACTTGGCATGGTAAACTGTGGCTAACAATGGTAAATTGTGGCTAATGATGGTAAACCGTGGGTAACGATGGCAATCCGTGGCTAACGATGGCAATCCGTGGCTAACGATGGCAATCCGTGGCTAACGATGGCAATCCGTGGCTAACGATGGCAATCCGTGACTAACGATGGCAATCCGTGGCTAACAATGGCAATCCATTGCTAACAATGGCAATCCGTGGCTAACTATGGCAATCCGTGGCTAACTATGGCAATCCGTGGCTAACGATGGCAATCCGTGGCTAACGATGGCAATCCGTGGCTAACGATGGCAATCCGTGGCTAACGATGGTAAACAGTGGCTAACGATGGTAATTCATGGCTAACAATGGCAATCCGTGGCTAACGATGGCAATCCGTGACTAACGATGGTAAACAGTGGCTAACGATAGTAATCCGTGGCAACAAGGCGATAAAAGCTTCGGTCTTTAGCGAGGGTGAACGGCTGCTTGTCAAGCTCCATCGTTTCCATCGTTAAATTGCTTGAGATTTGCGTCCTTTCTGGCAATTTTTTTTTTTTGATTTGTCAAAAGCCTCAGCAATGATTTAAGTCCCGATGAGTTCTTGAACGCTAGCTTGTTATTGTTAGCCTTTTTAGCAGTACGGACTCTGCTGCGTTCAGGAGGTAACGGACAGTACATGTTCTCAAATTAGGAGTAGTCGTTCCAACCTTTTTTTTTTATAATTATGAAGTTGGTTAATCGGTAAAATAATATTAATAATTCTTAAAGTGACTGGTTTTTCAGCATGGAGTATTGTAATTATTATTCTAGTAAGAAAGTAGTTTTTTCCGACGCAACTTGAACGTTGCTCGGGTCGTGCCGAACGGGAAGCGACTTGACCAAAAAGGATAAAAATAAACATGCATTCTCACTGCCSTGCTGGCAGACATGTAGATACATATATTATTGGTTCTGTTTGTTATGATATCGGACGATAATTATTGTGCACCCGTTATTGAAYATTAGTCGTCTTTTATAAAATCATAAAATAAGATCACTAACAGCTGCTAGGATCTCGTGGCACAAGATTCAATGCCGTTATATCCTCTGCAAGAGAAATTTCTCATTATCGTAGTTGCGTGACAAAAATTGCGTATTTTTTTAATCTCACATGGGGTGTGCACCAAGTATTGTGATTGGTCAGAATTTGGAGGGCGTGTTCATGCAGAAAAGCGGTCTCTTATTTTTGAAAAKGCAGACATTTTTACAAATGTTCCAGCAAATAAATCTTACAAATAAAAATAACTTGTGGAAGGTATCGGCACAGGTTTTGTGCACAGCTGAGACAGCGTGGAGACGCAGGCGGCTCTCCCCGATTTGAAAGCTTTYGATTTTAAATGAAATTACTACCKGGGTCAGGGRTGTCTTTGTCGGTTTCAATAGTTCYTGTGGCGCTCGTTTAAAGAAGCGTKTCAGGACCACGAGGTCACCTCAAGATTTTTCTCGCTCTTCCAGTTGAACGCCGTTTTATTGTGCCAGGAAGAAACGTCTCTGTACAGGCTGAGCTCTCGTGACGCTAAAATAAAGTTTGAAATGTCTGTTAAACGGAGATGAGGTGCAGATTTAATCATTTTCATTGATTTGTCGAAGATAACGTGTAAAGGAGTTTCAGTTTGTCCTCCTCAGTCTTTAGTTTTACAGTTCAGACCCTGAAACGTGTCAGTAAACTGTTCTGATTGGTAAAAACATACTTTGAGGAAATCTAATGTCACAAAATGAAATTCAAAATCAGGAACGAGGCCAGGAGGTTGAGTTTGTGGTGAAATTTTAAATGTATTTAATGTCATCTTGTTTACTCAGGATTTCAGTATCTTTCTTACTGCTCACTTCCTGACTAATCTTGTTTTTTCRTTATTCGTAAAATAGATATAAAACAAGTAAAAATGTTGCCGTTCTTGATGAGCTGTTATTGCGTTCTTGTTTGTTAATGTAATGTTTGAATTCAACAAATAATTGGCTGAAAATATCTTTACCAGTTTGTAACCTGAAATATTTTCACTATTAATTGTTTTAATACCAGTTTARTCCTGCCACTGCTGGAGTTGATGTATCAGAAGGTTGAGTTGTTTCAATTGTCAGTAAAATATCCTACAAACCACTTGGCAGATTTTAATGAAACTCATTGGATGTAAATCGAGCAGTAATGTAACCATTTGAAGATGGCCACCACAGCTGATCGATCACAAAATATCGCTAAAACTTCATGAGTTTTTAAAGATATAGAGCTAAAGTTTGAAGTGGTAGTAGCTGAGTCATCCCCAACACGTACTCTGAGAGCTAACTTTTAAAACCTGAGCTGTGGGATATAGTTATTTTTTAATTTAAATTGGTTTTAATTGGTTTAAACGTTAAACATTGTCAGTGTTGCAGCCTTTTCCTCAKTTAGTGACTCAATGTAAAGATTTATTTACATTATTAGCTTAATGGGAAGTCGTTTCTGTTAGTCTATTCAGTTTTTGTCAGTAAATATTCTTTTGGGAGTCGTTTTTTTTCTTAATCCTGCCTGTTGAGAATAAACCGTGATTCAGTCCAGATGTCCAGTTGTTTAATTATCTTGTTTTGTATTTTTTATATACTGATTTCTCCACATATTGATTTTATTGATACCGATGTTAAGTTTAACGTTCAGAACTCTGCTCGTCTTCAGATACAGAACAAAGGTCCAGCTGYTTTGTCGTTTTTATTTTTAGTTTTAATTTGTCGTGTTCTGGATGACTGATATTTGGTAGCAACAAAATTTTGACCCACTTAGTGTCAATAAAAGTGACTTTTAATGTCTTTAATAAGGGATGATGCAGTAAGACGTAAACAGAAAGTTATGAGTTATCTGTTGCTGCCGCCAAGATTTTGAACAATTTGTCGGATTATTTGAACTTTTTAAATTAATAGATRGTTGTGATTTAATTTAGACTCTTTATTTAACGGTAAAGCTTTTATCGTTCATAACAATCAGAATTTTAAAACTAATCTAATAATATTATTTTTTAAGCCATTGTTTTCCACATGCCTGCATGAATCCTAACAATCAGCAGTAATAATTTTTAAAAAGCTCGTTGCATGAATGAGAACTGCTTCAAGTTAAAAATCTTTAAACTGTTGATCTGGAAGTGGAGTTTAGGGGGTTGTGGGGGTCCCTCCTGTCTGTGTTTAACCTGTATCAGTGGTCCTGCCTGGTTCCTGGCCGCTCCGGCACCAAGGTGAGTGTGTGGAGTGACGAGAGGCCTGAAAAACCCGTAGAATGACCTCCCAAAGCCAAACCTCTGTCACTTGATTATTGCAGGGTTCCAGCTTCCTTCCAGTGGAAAGCCTTTTACAAGTAAACAATAACAAACAAGCTTCTACTTCTTTCTTGTCACCATTGCTAGACAAATGTATATGGATCAGCAAGGAGACGAAAAATGCGTCCCTTTGAAGGTTTTCAACGCAAGGCTATTGTAATTTGTCCCACGGACGAGGATTTTAAAGAACGAGCATTAAAGCAAACCAATGAGCAGGGGAAGGATGTGCCCGATCATGCTGTTTTAGAAATGAAAGGTAGGAACGCTGTGGAAACAACCAATTTAAATTAAAAACAACAGATCTACTATTTCTTTAAAACTTTTTTTTTAATGTGTTGTTTCTAAAATCAAACTTGGAAGATGTCCCCTCACCCCTCCCCCCATCATAGCCTTTGGTCAGATATCAGAACTGGACTTTTTGTTTTTACAGTTGACATAAATTTGATTTATTTATTTTTTTGTCCTTTTCCATTCAGCCTGTAACGCACTGCAACCCGACACGCTGGCCCGGTTCTTCTTCTGTTATATTAAAGCTAAAAACTTTTTTAGATTTTTAACCTCTTCAGCCCCAAACAGCATTTCCTGTTTTCTATTTCTTTTAACTTCTGTTAACTTAAGATCTGTCAGTTGAACCTGGATGTGTTTGGTATCAATAGAAAGCTAAGAAACTTGGCTAAAAGCTCATGGAAACTGTGTTTACATTCACCAAACAGTTCAAATGACAGGCAGTGGAATCAGAAAGTAAACAAACTACAAAATGTCATCAGTGCAAATCTGTAAAGACATGACAAGAAATCTGTAAAGGAATTTTTTTTATATTTTCTTAAAGCCAAAACAGATACATAAATATGTAATAAAGTTTGTTGGAATTTTTTTTTACTTGATTTTGAGTGAATATGATCCAACTGAAGTCAAATATAGTTTCTCATTATTTAATATAATATATATGGTGACAAATAAATGTTGGGATAATTTTTCAAAAGAACAAATATTCAATAAGTTTTTTCAGTCTGAAAAAAATAACTTTTGCAATAAAATCTTAACATTTATTAATGGTACCGTAATGGTCTGTGCTGTGCAGAATGGAAAAAAAGGCTAAATTATTTCTTTACTAAAACCTCTGTAACTTTGCTCCAGTTAATTTTAGCAGCATGAATCTTTGCACAGGTGATGTCCACAAGTRGATTTATTCCAGGTGTTTTTAGCCTGATTCATTATGGTTTTAAATGGGTTATATTCTGTCTGATGTAAAAATGATTCAGACGGGAGGGGAGAATGTAAATAATAATAATTTTAAAAAGTTCCGTCCGCAGTATCTCTAAAACAACATCAGCTGTTTTCATACTTACACTTCTGATGAAATGTCCCAAGTGTTGCTTTRTTTTGATACCAAGATTATTTAAGTAGAGTTTGTAAATGCTGAGAAACACTCAGTTACATTTCAGCATGGTGTTTTGAGTAAAAAACTTAAGAAAACTCCCTGGGGCTGAAGAGGYTAACAGACATGAGCGTTAAGTTACATGATGGCGAAGGCCGTCCTCGGTTTGCAGTGCTGTTTTCTTTTCACGTTGTCCTTTTTGTCCCCTCCCTGTCCCCGTCCTCTGTCTGCGTGAACAAATGTCTCCTCCATGTCCCCCTGGAGGTGATGTTTGTTCCCTTTACCCTGCTGTCTTTATCTGCTCTTAGACTCACCCTTCCCCTGTATCGTACTAATTATGTTTCGTTTTGTCTTCTGGTGGTGTGGCTGCTCTGGTCTTCACTACAACCCCTCCCCTCCCCCTCTCTGTCTCTCTCCTCACCGTCTCGCGCTCGCCTCTCCCCCCACACAAGCCAACTTCACCCTCCCCGAGCCCTGTGACTTCCTGGAGGACGTGACGTTCGTGGAGCTGCAGCGCGACGAGGCCGAGAAGCTGCTGAAGCAGTACAACGAGGAGGGCCGCAAGGCYGGCCCGCCCCCCGAGAAGCGCTTCGACAACAGGCAGGGCGGCTTCCGCGGGCGCAGCGGTGGCGGCGGCGGCAGCAGCAGCAGCAGCTTCCAGCGCTACGACAACCGCGACGGGTTCCGTGGCAGCTACCAGAACCGCAGCGGAGACGGAGGCAGCGGGTACAGAGGAGGTAAATCAGGGCTGGGTGATGTTTTATATTTTTATTTTTGTTGAGTTTTAACAGAAGAAAGTTTGTAACTACCTTCTGCCACCAGATGGCAGATATTACTCTTTGATTATACCTCATTATGGCTTTTATTTAAAATGTTTAATGTAAGGATGTCAGCAGAAWGTCTTCAGCTGTGAGGATTAAATGTGTTTTTCACATCAAAAGAAGGTTTTTAATTTGAAATATTTCTGAAATCCTCCAGCTTAACTACTGGAAATTATCCTTCCCCTTTTCTTTCATAGTTATCTAAAAYGAACTTCTTAAAGTGCCCCWGACATCAAATTTTAGTAATAAATGCAAAGGCAGTTTTGGAAAGACAACAATTAGAACATATTACAGAACAAGTTTCATACCATTGAGATGAACCGTTGTTGAGATATTTACATGTGAAGTAACAGGAAGTGATGTCAGACTATAGAGAAGAACTGGTTGTTTCTTTAATAATAATAATCCATTATTTAGTTATTATCTTTCAATTATTTTGAGGCACCGTCACAGAGAGATGAAGAGTTCAAATAATATTGATTCAATAAACAACGACCAGAGAGTTCCTCTTTGATGTCACTTCCTGTTACATTTTTGCTGAGCCAAAAATAAAAAAAAAACATGACAGTTGTGTGGCAAAATGGGTACAATTGTGTGTTTTTTACTAGGTTTATTAAAGGAGCTTTCTTTCACTTTTTGTATTTGAAGAATATGCATGGCACATTCACTTTAAGAAAATTGTGTTTAAAACAATGAAATCCTTTAGAAACAAAAGATAAACACATCTGTAAGTGTCTTTTTCTGCTGTCAACTTTGTTTTACWGTCGACTGAACAAATAAAGTAAATGTTTAGGAATAAAAAATGGCCCAAAATCAATTAAGAAATCTATAAACTGTAAATTTCAAAACGTAACACATAGGAACCTTGATAATAAAATGAACAGTAATAAATAAACCAAGAGTTTATTTATCCTCAAAATAATTTCATTGCAAAAACAAAATAATCTGTGTCAATTTTAGTTCAGAGCAAAGTTTTATTCTGGTAACTAATTGAGATGTGTGTAGTAAAATGCTTTGTGTTGTGCAGGCTACAGTCGTGGTGGGTACAACCAGAACCGTTACGGCAACAGTTACCGTGACGGAGGTTCTGAAAGCCGCGGCGGATACAACCGCAGCCAGCAGTCCAGTGGAAGCTACAATCGCCCGACTTCGTACAACAAGGSAGGCTACAACCAGGTACTGAACGTAACGGTCAGCCTGAAGATTTAAAATGTTTATAAACGGGTAAAATGTTCAACATGGTTTTATTTTCATCAGCAGAGCTACAACCAGGGCGGCTACAACCAGGGTGGCTACAACCAGGGCGGCTACAACCAGAGCGGCTATAACCAGAACTACTACGGCAGCTACAGTCAGTACCCAGGGTACAGCCAGAGCTACAGCCAGCCGCCAGCGACCGGACAGGCGTACAACCACCAGCAGCAGCCGCCGGCTCAGCCTCCGGCTCAGCAGCAGCCGCAGAGCTACAACCAGCAATATCAGCAGGTATTYCAGGAGGATTCATTCAGAGATGTTAGCAGAGTTAGCATGTTAGCAGGTGAAGTGTACACCGCCTGCTAACGAGGCTAATAACCAGCAATATCAGCAGGTATTTCAGGGCATATTCATTCAGTGATGTTAGAGTTACCATGCTAGCAGTTGTCGTATACACCATCTGCTAACGAGGCTAATAACCTGCAATATTAGCAGGTAGTTCAGGGCGGATTCTTTCACTGATGTTAGCAGAGTTAGCGTCTTAAGCCGTCTGCTAACGAGGCTAATAGCCAGCAATATTAGCAGGTAGTTCAGGGCGGATTCATTGAGCGATGTTAGCAGTGTTAGCATCTTATGCCGTCTGCTAACGAGGCTAATAACCAGCAGTATCAGCAGGTATTTCAGGGCAGATTCATTCAGTGATGTTAGCAGARTTAGCAGGTGAAGCTATACTAGCGAGGCTAATAACCTGCAATTCACTAACAGCAGCTAGCTGTAATAAATATTTTATTGACTAATTTTCTTCTTTTCTAACTGTAAAGTTGTGATGTTTTTCTTTCAGTATGCTCAGCAGTGGCAGCAGTACTACCAGAACCAGAACCAGTGGAACCAGTACTACAGCCAGTACGGTGGCTACCCTAGCCAGGGCAGCCAGGGCCCTCCAGGATCCCAGTAGCTCCGCCCYTGCTTCCTCCGACGCCCCTCCCCTTACCCCTTTTTTTGACCTCTGCAGTAAATGGATATTTTGTACAGCCCCAAACGTGACATCGTGTCTGATTTATTAACACCTCTGCCACCATCATCACAGAAACTGTAAACAGTTTGATGTCTTTTTCATTTTTTTGTTTTTTATATCAAATCAAGTCTTACTCTTGGTGCCGAGTGGGAGGCAGTAAACGTTAACTCTCAGAACCTTTAAGATTATGAATCAAACGTGGACGTTCTCCACGTTCTGAAGAGGTGATTGTATATTTTTAGGAGGAAAACAGAGAAAAGCCTGAATAATTTAGCTTAAAGAACAAACTGCATGTGTTTTACCTTCATGATTCGTTTTTATTTACCAAACATTTTCTTATAAGCGTGGGTACTGTAGTATTTAATTCAGTCTTTATTAGGAGTAATCTTTTCTCCACTCTTCACTAGCTGTATTTACAGTTTTTTTTAATCCATCCCTTTGTGATTGCTGTTGGCGTCTCGTAGTAAAAACCCATTTTGTCCATTTTTTTCTACCTTAAATGAAAAAAAAAATCAGATTTTGACCACAAGTTATCTTGTCTTTATACAATAAACAGTTGTAAACATCTGTAAACGTGTGTAAAAGTTGTTTTTTTAAGTCAAACAAAACAGTCCACGCTTGGTTTATCCACTTTTTTTAATAATGAACAAAAAAGAAGAAAAAAAAGTTGAAAGTCGTCTTGAAATAAATTGTTCCAGTGTCGTTTTAATGAAGCGTAGGTGAACTTGGAGAAGAAATCTGAGAGTCCGAAGTGTCTTCAGGGCAGGAAATAAACATTTTGGGTGAGTTTTCACTCCTGTTGCTCAAAAACCAAATTAAACAAAAAAAAAAAAACATTTTCTAAAGCTGCAACGCTGAAATGGTTCTACAATCACCGGTCACTTTGAGGTCCGCTTTAAATGAGTCACACAAATATAATCACTTCTTACAACTTTTAGAACCTCTTAATTAAAAAAAAATCTAATTTAAGTGATTTGTTTGTTAGAAATTCACGTTTTTTCCAATAAAATAATGAGAAATTCTTCCATCCTGTTAAATGGACATAATCACGGTTATTTTCAGCACTTGTCCCAGTGATACTGCCAAAAACTAAACCAAATCCATTAAAACACTTTGTTGCCGGTTGAAGAACTAAATTTCAAAGTGGGTCCGACCTGGTGCCGCCTGATAAAGTGACCGGTGAGTGTTGTCTCACAATCCAAAGCCAAATAATTAGGATTTCTGTTTTTCCAAATAAATTCATGAACCAGTTGTCTGATAGCTGCCAAACGGACCGAGGATTTTGCTGCTCTTAGTGTTAATTTCCTACCCTGCTCTGAAACCACATGAGATCAACAAATGTTTGTTTTTCATATGTTCTAGCACCAGAAATCCAAGGCACATGTTCTAAAATAAAAAAAGGTGTTTATAAATTACAAAACAAAAACCAGTATTTGAATTTAAAACAAAGCCAAACCATCGAAGATGAGATTTAAAACTAGTTTTAAGCAGTTCGTTTCCAGCTGCTGCTTCTCCAGATTGAAGGTCCTTCATCGGTTCACCCCCCCCYGACGAGGTTCGTTTTGTCCCGAGGAGGAAGAGGAGCGCTCAGTCCGGCTCTCTGCTTTTGTCTTTGTGCAGATGTAGCTCATCCATCTTGTCCTGCAGGAAGGAGACGGGCACGGAGCATCCTCGGCCTCTGTGTGGCAGCGTGTTGGCCTGAAACAAACGGAGGCAACGGCTCGGGTTATTTTACTTCAGTGTTGCATGAAGTACCTCAAGGTGATGAGTAAAAGTACAAGTACCGTATTTATGTACAATACGTTTGTCATTTTTTGAGCTTGAAAAGCATAAAAAAATCTAATCAACAATAACCACCCCCCACCCTCACTTTATGGATGATTTTTAGGGTTAAATGTCTAGTATTACACAGTATCTTATAAAAATACTTTGGTAAAAGTTAGTCTTCTATAAGAATGTTACTTGAGTAAAAGTCTTAAAGTATCTGATGTTTTTTGTACTTAATATCAAAAGTAAGTTTCTGACAAAATCTACTTGAGTATTAAAAGTAAAAGTGAGCGGTTAAGATTTTCCTAAATAACATTTATTGGGAGGGTGAACTCTCCAGAAAACTTTTTTTCTAACAGCGTGCAGCTGTGATGGACTGTGTACAAAGTAATACTGTGTCAGAATGATATATATATTTATACTGTTCATCCAGAGTTGTAAAGTAACTAAGAACAAATACTTTGTTACTGTAGAGTTTTTGGGTATCTGTACGTTACATGAGTAATTATTTTTCAGCCTACTTTTTACTCCTTACATTTTTAAAAAAGTCAAGAAGTAGAAAATAGTTACTTTTATTTCATTTTTGCTTGTTTTCATTCCAGCTTATAATAAAAAATAAAAACTATCCATATAAACTGAGCCTCCTAGATAGAGTGAATTTAACTGTGGTTGAATGAGAAGTATAAATATATAAAACTCTGATAGTGTTTTAGTTTGTACACAAACAAATCATGTCACACTCCAGCAGGACAGAATCCTTCAAATCAAAGGAATGAACTTAAATAATGTAAGGAGTATAAAATACAGATAATTGTATAAAAATGTAATGAGTAAAGTAAAAAGTATGCTGAAAAATAATTACTCAAGTAAAGTACAGATAACCAAAATTTCTACTTAAGTACAGTAACAAAGTATTTGTACTTAGTTACCTTACAACTCTGTTTTACAAGCTTTGAACGAACTGATCCTGTGTGCTCTGAGGTTTCCTCACCCTTTTCTCTGCAGACCCGTGGACGACGGAGTTCACATGGTTCCCCCTCCTGTCCTTCCTCTCGGGGGTCCAAACCCCAGGATCCGTCTGAGTGGAGCAGTCCGACAGCTTGTGTTCCGTCTCGTTGCTCTGTGGGAAAACGAAGGCCTCCTCCTCAGAACCTGTCAGAGAGCATCACACGTCAGTCACCTCGCTCTGATTCACGCTGTGGCACCGGATGAGACGAGTAGGGATCTCTGCAGCGTTGTTCCTGAAGAGTAGGTGTTTCTAAACATACACTGATTTGGTTCTTCTTTTCGTTTTTCTTTCACTTTAATTACTTTCACTTTAATTTTAGCAGCCAAAACTGAGGCACAGGGGTTAATATTAGGGTGGTGTGACAACTGGAACACTCTCCACTGGAAACTGTTCACACCCAAAACTCAGGACCACACCCCCAACATTTTGCTCTTCTAGTGTAGTGATGGGCGCGGCCAGAGGGAAAAAATACTACCAGAAGGAGCTTTGCCTTTGAATGGAGAAAGAAGGAGAATTAAGACAAGGAGTCTTCTTTAAGAAAAAGGTGGAGAAAATTCATCTGAGAACCAAGGTGGATCAAGTTTTTCTGTGGATCTAAAGAGCACAAAGTCCTCTGTGGTTGAAGGTGGCAAAACGTTCCTTATCAGCACACAGGTCAGGCAGCTCTGGAGCAGGAAAATGAGGTGTAGGAACCACGTCTTCTGGTTGAAGTGGAACTTGCTGCTGCTCAATGAAGAGAGAACTCAGAAACAGGCTGGTTGAACAGCAAGAATCTTTATTTTTGCAGTCCGGGAGATTACAGCCAAAAACCAAATTGTGGCCTTCAATGCCAAATGATTCACCAAGTAAGAAGATGAAGACGAAGGCCAAGAGCAGGGGCGTACAAGGCTCTTTATAGGCTTTCACAGATGCACCATAAATCTTGTTACGGTATACTTTCTTCCTAATATGGTAATATGTGCCGAGTTCTGAAGCTGGAAACTAAGAAGCCTCACATCTGTGCATTCCTGAGAAAAGGCCCCCCACTCTTGGACACTACAAAAACTTCTGTGGACCATCAAGGTGGTGAAGTTCTTTACCAGTACTGTGAGTACATACACCTGGCTGTAGCAGCCGCTGCTGCACCAGGTTTGGCATTTTGACTTTTATTGAGCTGCCAAGATCAGTTTTTTGTTGTGTTTACTTTACTCGAACTTGGGACAGACAAAGAAAAAAATCCAGAGTGGAGTTTATGATTTTGGACCTATTTGGAACTGAACTGAACACAAGATTATCTATGTTTACATTCAAATTATTGTTTGCTGTGATAATTGTTTTTCTTTATTTCACAATTGTGCAACAATACATTTGAGTTTTGAAAGAAACTGGTATTTTTGGGTTTATTTCATTTAATGTTTAGGGTGACCAGCACTGTTATATGCTTGCATCCTTTGTGAGGTTGTTGTGTTTTCAAGGCTAATATAAAGAAAAATCTTATGTCAGGAGGTAGAMCTGACTGGCACCCCCTCAGACCTTGATTTCATGAACCCGTCACAGTAGGAAGGGCCAAATCGTAGAATCAAGGGGTTAATTTTAGGGTCAAATGACTGGGGAGTGCTAAATAATGTGGTTTTAATGTAACGCTCCTTTGTGCTCGTTTAATCTGGTGTGGTTGTAAAGTAACGCCCCCTTTGTGCTCGTCCAATCAGGTGTGGTTGTAAAGTAACGCTCCGTTGTTCTCGTCCAATCAGGTGTGGTTTTAAAGTAACGCTCCTTTGTGCTCGTCCAATCAGGTGTGGTTTTAAAGTAACGCTCCTTTGTGCTCGTCCAATCAGGTGTGGTTGTAAAGTAACGCCCCCTTTGTGCTCGTCCAATCTGGTGTGGTTGTAAAGTAATGCCCCCTTTGTGCTCGTCCAATCTGATGTGGTTGTAAAGTAACGCCCCCTTTGTGTTTGTCCAATCGCCCCCTTTGTGCTTGTCCAATCAGGTGTGGTTGTAAAGTAACGCCCACTTTGTGCTCGTCCAATCAGGTGTGGTTGTAAAGTAACGCCCCTCTTTGTGCTCGTCCAGTCAGGTGTGGTTTTAAAGTAACGCCCCCTTTGTATTCGTCCAATTGCCCCCTTTGTGCTCGTCCAATCAGGTGTGGTTGTAAAGTAACGCCCCCTTTGTGCTCGTCCAATCAGGTGTGGTTGTAAAGTAACGCCCCCTTTGTGCTCGTCCAATCAGGTGTGGTTGTAAAGTAACGCCCCCTTTGTGCTCGTCCAATCAGGTGTGGTTGTAAAGTAACGCCCCCTTCGTGCTCGTCCAATCAGGTGTGGTTGTAAAGTAACGCCCCCTTCGTGCTCGTCCAATCAGGTGTGGTTGTAAAGTAACTCTCCTTCGTGCTCGTCCAATCAGGTGTGTCTGTTCTGAAACGCCTACTCGTCTGCAGAGAACCCCCTCTCGGAGGAGGCGTGGACGGGATACACACTCCAGCTGTTGCCCTTGGTTCTGGAGTCGGGAGCAGGGGTGCAGGGACACGACCCGGTTGTGTTCTTGTGTTTCTTCTGGCACTCCATCCTCACCAGATCTCGACAGTGTCTGTGACAGTTGATCCCACAATCTGAAGGAAAAGCAAAAACATTTACATTTATTGGTCCAAAATTTAGGTTCGGTCCAAACAAGACCAAGGATGTAAATGTTCACTGAAGTGATGAGCAGGGTCTCTCCTGACTTCTTCCTTTGACTGTGGTGCTTCTGGAGCTTCACTAACCTCTAATTCCCCTAAACAAAAATCTTAGTTCTGCTAACACTAAACATATTAAAATTAGGGGAAGCTAAACGCTAACGACTGTGTCACACATCTTCAGTTTTATGCCGCAGAACATATTTATAAAGACTGGAGCTTAAAACCCTGTTTTTGTAATATGTCGCTCTGTGCAAAGCATAAAAAATAAATAACATTTTTTTTTAATTCAGGAAAAAAACATTACTTTTGTAGGAGTAGTTAATGCAATGTGTAAAAATTATTAATATAAGCTTGTAAACAAATTGGAGAGCTTTTTAAAATGTAAGTTTTGTTAAATATTTTCAGTTATTTTACTTCAGATTAAAAGCATTTCTTGGATCGAGTTTGTGTTTTTATCAGGACAGTTTAATTCTATTTTTAGAACAGTCACGTGACTGTCCGCTCGACGCTGAGGCGCGTTGCTTTCAGTGGAGCTACACCGGTTTAGCTGTGTTTAAACTTGAATAAACTCAGGGAAACAGCATCAAACTCCGCCTGGAGGATCACACAACATACACGCTGCGATTCTCATAACAAGGACTCGGGATACAGCCATCAGCCCAACATGGAWGGAGTACTTTTGATCACTTTTCCCAAGCTAAGATGCTATGCTAACTGCTGGATTCAAGCGAYGGGAGAGCTGAATTTGACCAGAAAAAAAAGTCAACCAAGAACTTAAGTCTGCTCCAAACATTTCATCAGAGGTAAAAGACCAACACTGGACCACCCGGATCCTTTCTCTGCACTTTCTGTGAATAAACAGGTACAGTAAACCTTATTGTTTTTACTGTAGCCTACTGCTAGCTTAACTCCTAGCATCCATGCTAGCTTCATGTAGCGCTCTACTGCAGTCAGTCACACATACGGTGCTAAAATTATACTTACACAACTTTTAAACATCATTATATTTTGTTAAACATGCAGAAGCAGTGGCTCCAGTGATAAAAATGCACACAGACACACAATATATGCAGCAAGCTAAGTATTAAGACACAGTAAAAACAACCTTTTTTAACAATTCAACTCACTTTTCCAAGTGTCTGTGGAAGACCTGGACCCTCAAGCCCACCATTCAACTCAACTCAACTGAATRTCCTCGTTTAGTGGAATCTAATATGTCTGCTAATGGTTTTCAACGCTAGCAGAAAAGCTAATCCGCTAAATGAAAAGCTAGTTCCGCTATTAGCGGTTAAGCGGACCTGTGCCCACCACTGTGTGTCATCATTCACACATGATGTTTTCACCTGAATAACTCATTTTATTTTAGCAGTTTAAATGTCGCAGCTCGTTCAGCAGACGGCTGCTTTRATGTTTGGTTTCTGTGACTTTTCTAAATATTTATCTAAAATAAAATTCCCTCTACAAATAAATAGAAATCTGTTCAATTCACCCAAAAACCATCGCTTTGAAATATGATTCTGACTTTATTAGCTTTTAGCTACTGTTATTCTATGTTTAGCCTTTAGCTACACTTCTAGGTGTTAAGCTACTATTTTGTAAATTTTAGCTTGAATTACTGCTCTGCTTCTTTTAGCATTTAAGTTACCATTTTTAAACGTTTAGCTTGAAGCTACAGTTTTGATAAAACTAGCACTTATATAGCAAATTTTAGATTTTAGCTTCTATTATGATGATTTTATCTTTTAGATATATGTTTAACTTTTAGCTTTCAATTTGCTACCTTTAGGTTTGAGCTGTCGTTTTGCTACTTTTAGCTTTTAACTGACATTACTATCTTTAGCTTTTACCTCCATTAAAAAAAAAATTCAGCAATTAGCTAACATTTTTATGCTAGCACATTTCTGCTTTTCTTTAGCTTGTAGCTACAGTTTTTTTTAAGTCTGGCTGTTGTTTTGCTAATTTTAGTTGCCGTTTTCCTACTTTTAGCTACTATGTAGAACATTTTAGGTTATAACTTATTTTATGTTAAATTTGGCTTTTAGCTAATATTTTGCATTTTTTTAGCTTCATCGTTTAGATCTTAGCTACTTTTATGATGGTTTTCGCTTTTAGATATAGCTATGTTTAACTTTAAGCTATCAATTTAATACTTTTTGCTTAAGYTTTCATTATGCTACTCTTAGCTACCATTCTGCTAATTTTAGCTTTTAATTACCAATTTTGCTACTTTTAGCTTTTACCTCATTTTAAAAAGCTTTTAGCAATTAGCTAGCCTATTTCTACTTTTAGTTTTAAGCTGTCTTTCTGCTTTTTCTAGCTTGTAGCTGCAGTTTTTATAAGTCGGGCAAATTTTAGCATTAGCATCTGTTTTGCTCATTTAAGCTAAGTGGGATCTAACTGGGCTGAGACTGGCACACCATCAGTTTTGAACACAGTAAGTTGTGCTGCAGATTTTCTTTCATGTTGGACCCAGGTTTACCCTGGGTGTCTTGAGTTCACAGAGCTGACCAGCTGACCCTACGTCTGAAAGGTTTGAGTGTTTCTGGGTGCAGGTCGTGTCTTTACCTTTGCAGTGGTAACCCTGTTTGATGACTCCCCACAGCTGCAGGAGGGCAGATGAGAGAATGTTACACTTTAAATCATTGTTTGTGTAAAAATAAATAAATAAATCACGAGGGTTTACTCACGAAGCGTCCACACGTGTCGCAGAATGTCGGCCTCTTGTACGTGGTTTCGTGGAAGTTGTGCGCGTCTTTGAAGTTGTAGCCCAGCTTGGCGCACACAGACATCCCCCTCATGAAGTAGGACATGATTTCCTCCCGGCTGATCTGCCCCTCCCTGAGGAGGAAATGATTCCAACGTAATGCATCGTTTCWGTCACTTTATTGTTCCTTTAAGTATATTTTTTGTCTTTAGGTGTCCGTGACACAAATGTCATCCAAATRCAAAAATAAAACTTGACATAAAACACGATTTAACCATTTGGTAACATAACTGACAGATTTTCTTTTGAACTTGGCTCGGCCTAAATGAAACAGGAAGTGACATTGAAGGGGAACTGAAAGGAACTCTCAGGTCTTTGTTTATTGAAACATTCGGATCATTCAGAAAAAACACRAAGACGGAAAGGTGAGTAACGTGAGCCCACCTTTGATGCCCCCCTGTGCCCCCAAGCAAGGTAGTACCAGAGCCGGTGTTACACCATATTTTGTGACCGTCTTATATTGTGACCAGAGGGGTCGCTGTTGCGTTTCTACAACAGAACTTGGCCGAAAATAGCCACAAAGAAGAATGAAACGCCAAAAGTGTAACCCAGAGGTCACAAAATATGTTGAAATGACAGTAATTTATCTTTTAAAACTGCATGAGGTTTATGAGGGCGTCCCTGAATTTTTTTTTTTTTTGCCTTTTGTAAGGGGTCCCAAGACCCAAAACGTTTGAGGACCCCTGATCTAAAACATCAGATTCTTCTCCACAGTCTGGGTTGTTAGCCGTTGTAGCAACGCTCTGTTTACATGCAGACTTCCCCCTTTGACATCACTTCCTGTTACCTCAAATGTGAATATCTCAACAGCTGTTCATCTCAGCTATGTGATTTCTGTTTTTCAATTTGTTATCAACATTATCTTCCCAAAAGTGCATTCATATTCATTACAAAAAATGATGTCACAGGCACTTTAAAAGCTATTTTAATAATAAATTAGCATATTGTTCGTCCTCACCTGTCAGTTTCTTGAGTGCAGAAGGAAAAAGGGAAGTTGGCTGCTATTTTTTCAAAGTCCTCCAGCGAAATGTAGCCGTCCTGGTTCTGGTCGTAGTTCTTCATGACGGACTGCGGGGGGCAGCAGAGGGCGAGGCCCGTCAGCAAAAGCAGCTCTGCCCCAGGACAAGAAGGAAGTGAAAGCCTGGAGGCGTGAGCGCCGAGGAGCACTCAGATACTCACATCCACCATCTGCTTGACGTGTTTGGAGATGGTGTCCGAGTCGAGCCTGGGGGTGACCCCCGACCCCCACTCCGCCACCACCGGGGGCGTGGCAGGCTGTGGACCGACACATGCAGTGATGAGACACTGAGGACTGTGAGAAACAAGAAGAAAAGAGCACACCCACCACATAACACACTTCCCTAACATACGGCGCTTTGATGTGGCTGACTTTGATGTATTTCAGCTGCTTTTCTTTTCAGCGCGTCACACCCACAGAGTGCACGAAACGTCCAAACAAGTCGGAACAGATCAAACACCTTTCATGCTTCTCTACCTGAATCTTGGGGTTTTTAGGCTCCTTGGTGTATGAAAGTTCATATATCTCGTCCTCGGTGTAATACAGGTCTAAAGAGAGCTGAGGAGAGGACAGAGATTATTCTGGGCGGGAGGTTTTGTATGGGATTAATCTTGTGTCAACAGGAACTGAATTTGAGTTGCCCAGATTAAATCTGAATGAATTTGAAATTGAATGCATCGGTTTGAAAATAAATTTCACTAAATTGAAACTGAATTTAAAGTTTTGTACCTGAATTAATTTGCTTTGAAACTGTATTTTGGTTTATTAAAAATTCAGTTTGACTTCTTTCACTTTCAGTTCCATAATTCAGATGTTTGTGTCACATCCTGGTCCTTGAGAAAGCCAGGCAGAGTAATCAAACACAGATCCACAGATTTATGTTTCACTTTGGTGAAGTTCCCCTTCTGGATGTAACAGAGTTGATGCAATCCACTGTAAAAGTGACAAAAACAGACAAAGTTATTTTATTGCAGTAATTAATTTGACCTATATGTAGAAATTTTACATTTACATCACATCATGGATCAGTCAGCTGCAGCATCTGATCAA